CTTGGGATGACGTTTTTGCTTGTAACATTCAAGCGGACCACCCGCTTAAAATGCTTGATATCATTTGGCCATACATTCGTGACCACGAGTTGCGTTTTGAATGTCAGCCGATTGATGCACAATGCTTGTGGCACATTGTCCAGTCCCGTAATCCCCAAGCCGCCCCAGGACTTGATGGATGGCGGACTGGTGAGCTCCAATTGATGCCAGCTGAATGCTTTCGACCATTCGCCACCGTTTTTGCTGCACTTGAAGTGTCAGATGATCCTTTACCACCCACTTTGACTTGTGCTCGTCAGATGATCCTTAACAAGAATGGGTCTTCTCACCCCATGCAGAAACGGTTGATCACGGTATTGCCAATTTTATATCTGGCATATTCGGGTGCCCGGTTTCGTCAATTGAGAGGTTGGCAAATCAATTCCATGCCTTCCCAGCTTGTAGGAGGGGTGCAGGGAAGGAACATGTCAAGCATACAGACGCAGATGAAGCTTGACATTGACATTGCCAGTGCCCAAGGTTTTGACCTGATAGGCATGAAGCTTGACAAAGCTAAATGTTTTGATCGTGTGATTCCATCCTTTGCATCTTGTCTGATGTTGGCCTTTGGCATTGACAAGAAAATTGTCACGATCTTCAGCAAGCTGTATGATGGCCTGCACCGACACCTCTCCTATAAAAGCTGGTGGTCACCAACGGCTACCCATGCTGCCAACGGAATAGCCCAGGGAGACAGTTTCTCGCTTGTAGCAATCAATGTCTACTCCAAGGTCTGGATAGTTTTCATGGATCTGTTACCGGAAGTGGTTGCCATGGCATACATAGATGACGCATATTTGTGGGCAAGATTGGAGCATGCGAGCAAACTTGCTCATGCAGTCGAGATCACTCGCTTTTGGGATCTCTTGTCTGGCCAGCTACTTAATGACAGTAAATGTGTTGTTTGGGGCACCTCCACCAAAGCTCGCAAGGTTTGCAAACAGCTGTGGCCTAACATGTCTCTTCAGCTTGAGGTTGAGGTTTTGGGTGCTTTTGTCACCACCTCCAAACGCCTTGCCTTTCATTTTGGACTTGAAGACACAGGCCATTGTTAAGGAAATTAAACACATTCGAGCTCTTCCTATTCCGGTCAACGTGAAAGCCTTTTTTCTTGGAGTGAAGGTGATTCCGCGTTTCTGTTACGCTGCCTCCCTCAACCAGATCCCTAAAGAGGTTTCAAAGAAGTTCCAATCAGAAATTGTGCAAACTCTCTGGGGACGTCGCCCCCACTGGACATCCTTGGTCATGACCTTCCTCTCAGAACCACATAGAAATGACCCAGTGTGCACACTAGCATATCATGCAGTGATGGATTTCTTGAGATTTTTAAGGATGCCTGGTAATGGGCGTGACAAATGCCTATGGGCGGCGGCACATTGTACGGTAGAGCATGCTCTTTTGTCCAAGATTAAGGAAGCTTTTCGCTTCTTTGGCCTGTCTTTGTCACCAGATCTTGTTCTTTCCTTTGGGGGTAAACCTCTCATGCCTGCCTGGGACCTACATCCAAAAGATATTAAGATGTTGTTGCATAGGCTTTCTCGGCACCGTTGTTACCTTGAGGCTGCAAATCAGCATCGCAAGGACTTTCGCATGCCTTCAGGCATCCTTGATTATGATCTCACGTGTGGACTGCGAGATAAGTCCACCATCAAGCATGAATCAAAAGCCGTAGTTGAGAGCCACTTTGTTGCCCAATTGGTTGGCTGCACGCTGACACGAGACCGATTGTGTGCAGCCAGTTTAGACACATCGGACAAGTGCCGCTTTTGTGGGTGCGTGAAAGAATCTTTAGCTCATCTGGTTTTTGATTGTGAAGCTTACCATGCTTTGCATCCTCCTGAACCTGTTCATGAGTTTGGCTCCAATTTTGGGCTTCTGGGTATTGTTGAGCACCCTGTAGGTGTTGTGAAACATCGACTGCAGTGGAACGATCCCAATGACCTCCTTGTTGCTACTTTCCAACCCTCGGCTCCTCGAGTCAGCTGGTGGTCAGATGGCTCAGTGTTTTGGCCAGATGTTTTCTGGCTTTCGGCTGGAGGCTTTTCCATAGTCAATGACCGCAACCAGGAAATCTTTGGTGGCCCGGTTCATCATCTTCATATTACATCATATACGACGGAACTTTGGGCTGTTGTTGTAGCAATTCATAAGTGTGCTGCTCCAACCGAAGTGTTCACTGATTGCCAGACAATTGTTGACCAGTTCCAAGTCTTGCAAACAGACGGTGCACCACATACTACATGGTCCCACTTCTCGTGGTGGCATGCTATCAGCATCAGGCTCCAAATCTTGTTGGATTTCCATCCGGATCCATTTGTGGTGTCTTGGATTCCTTCACATTTGTATGAACACCTTCCTGAGTGTTTCATTACACAAGCCATGGCGGACGCCAAAAAGACGGAAGTTCGACATATCATTGGAAATCGTTTTGCTGACAAGTTTGCCAAGGAGCATGCTGTGCAGGCCACGAGCGTGCACCCCTCCGATGAACAAATGTTAAAGCAGAGCATCATCAGAAGACAGGATTGGCTGACAATGCTGAACCTTGAGATTGCAGCGCTTCAGAAATCTGACCAAGAAAGCAAGCAGGAAGCCCGCTTAGCTGAAGAGGAAGCTTCTGAAGATGTTTTTGCACTCTTCCCTCATTGGGAGTGGGAGCCGCAGGTTCAGCAATTTCCATGGACACCCACGTTTGTTTTCCTTCCTGATAAGTTTCCACCGCAATGGGCGTCGAAATCTAATGACTGGAAAATTCTGGGTTCCTTTTTTGCGTGTCAACAATGGCGGCTCGCTGAGGATGCAGTCACCTCTTATGTAGAATTGGCTGTTTTGTTCCACTTACAGGGCTTCCGCCTTCCGTCGCAGGATACATCGCTTCATACTTTTCGGGATCTTACGGCTGAAATCCGTCAGTTTGTGGCGTCCATCCGCGTCGACTCAGGTATATCATTTGTGCCAGGTTGCCATAACAGACACCGGAACAAAAGTATCGGCAAATCACTTCCCAACGGAACGATCGATGGTGCAGAGATTTTCATCTCGAGAGAGAACAAGATTCGGTTCGCACGAATACTTGCTGGAGTTTCCACTGCCCGCCTTCAAGCATGGGCTTTCTCCTTGGATAGCGCTGAGTTTTAATTCGGGGTTCACATGTGAAATCATATGTGTGAAGGATACTTGGCAGAATGCCTGGTATGCCAGACGAGACTTTTCTCGCCGCGACAGGAAGAACAGAACAGACATGAATAGACTACCGGAACGTGGTTTTGTAACATACCATTTGGGATTGGGTAAATAATCATTTGGGTATATAATCCCATTACCAGTAACAGTGAATGATGATTGTTGATTAGTAAAGGATAGTAGTAAAGGCCCTTCTCTTAAATAGCGATTTGCTTGTGTACTGACTGTTACACTGTTACAGGTAAGTTCGGGAAAAAAACAACAAATCCCGATCCCGCAAAAGTGCTGCAGGTATCGGCGATTGAAAATATTGAGAAGAATTCACGTCGGTGTCGGTGCTGTAGAAACATGACGCTCGATGAAACAAACATGGAAGTGGACGATCCCCTGTTTGTGAAGGACAATAGTATTCCAGGAGGCCGTTGTCCAAGGGACATACTCTGCATAATATCCACTCACTGCATGGAAAAAGGCATAAAAAAAAAAAAAAAAAACATGCTTTCTGAGTGTATTGTCCAATATAATTGGAAGCGACTTCGTGCTGGCCACGCATGTCCGCGGAACGCAGCAACGGTTGTGCAGTTGGTGGTTAGGCGGAACTTAAATTGAATTGTATCCCCAACTATCGTCATCAACGATTCCGATGCTCATCTGTCAAATCGAGTGGGCTATATTCGGAGGAACTATATAGGTTCGTTCTTGTGGTTTTCAATCTGCTCAACATCGAAAGTAGAAACCTCGCTCACCGCTTCTGACCAACACGCCCCACAAAAAGGTTGATCCCGAATTGGATCTCAATGAAATAGGAACTGAAGGCGATCAAAACCTTTGTGCTTTCATCACTTGGCGTGTGCAGGGGCGATCGAAACTCTTCCGCCCCCAAATGAGAAAAAGAAGACCTACAGGTCTAAAATGGTCTAAATCTCTTAATTTACACTCATGTCACATGTCCATGCCATGTCATATGTTTCCTTGAACACTCCAGAGACCAGGTACGGAAGTCCGCGTTCATCCTCCAGTTCGCATCCGACCAGAGAGGACCGTGCGGTCCGCAGCAAGGCTTGCAAGCGGAATCACAGCGAATTGGCCGGCGAAGGAGACAACGAGGAAAGAGATGGATGGATTACCATGTTCGGAATCACAAGCAGGTGGTGGTTTTCCACTTGCCATGATTCCTTTAGAGCATGTATATGTTTCATGATGTTTTTCTGTTGATTCCTGTGGGACTCCCAACCGTCAACGAACCAACCGTCATGGCCCCTATTTATCGGCCTGGCCTTTTCAACACCTCAGCTGATCGAAACCAGAAAAAAAGCACCGGATGCAAAGCATCCCGATTTTCGGAAGGTCCTTATGTTAAATTCTAACATCAAAAGGACAACATGGCTATACCGCTATACCCAGCAAGTTCCTATGCCTGGATAATCTAAGATATCAACAAATAGAACCTATATGCTTTATTTGCATGCCTCATGCCAACAATGCGATGTCAGTCCTCTTGTTCCATGATCCTTTCAGCATCTCTGCTTGAGTGACGAAAGGGGAACTGCGGCCGCTGGCTGAAACCGAGACTGAGCCCATTCCACTGGTGTTCACATTTCTTCACCCCACTCCACCGTGTTTGGTGACTTCCAGGCAACATACCTAGACTATCCTGTCGACTTCTTGATCCCTATCCTCGGTGAATCGTCCCATTGCGCATCAGCGCATCAGCGCCCTGAGCCCTTGGGAGTCGGAATGAGTGAACTCGGGTACCTTCCACTCACCGACGGACTCGCCTGAGCCAAGCTCTCGCCATAGGTCTTGATGTTGTCCTGCGAAAGAGCGGATATCGTGCGAGGAGCGCCCGCGGCTTCCCGCAGGGGCCCTGATTTTCGCAGCGTCCGAAAGCATGTCAACTGACCCCTTCAATTTGCCTGGAATAGAGGCTATATCCATGGCTATCCTGTTTCCATGCTTTTTGTTAAACGGGGAAACTGATCCCCCCAGAAGGTTAACGGGTAAAGGTTGTCCCGCTTTTCCTGGGTAGGTAAATATGAATGACAACCACGACTAGCCAGTTGGGGGGGGTGCAAAGGGCGTCTTGAAGAGCCATGCTGCCATGGCCAGGGCAACAAACTTGCACTTATATGCATGCTGTGCCTAAGGTATATACATAAGGTATACTATATACAAGAGGGTAAAATGAAGGGCCCATATCAAGGGTCCATGGTTTTCTTCTTTGAAATGCAAGTGTGTCAACAAAGAAACCTTTTATGATCCTTCAGGATTCTGCACGCCGCTCGGGTGGCCGAGCAGGAAGGGTCCTTGTACCGTACCACCTAAACTCTTAAGAACTGTGAGGAAACGAGAGAGGAGAGTAGCTGACAAGATCAAACATTAAAGAGCAAAACGGATGAAAAAAGGAAGTCACTTAGTATCACTACAGTGGTAACCACTAACGTCACACCCACACTGCCTTTTCTTTGATCCATGCCAAACCTCACTGCAGTTGCTGACCTCCACCGCCCCGTTGGTGCCCAAACCCACCGTTGATCCACCACGCCGATCCGATGCCGCGGAGCGCCGCTCCGTGCCCCACAAGGTGAAGGCGATGGATTCCGGCAACTCGCCCTGCGGGGAGCCGGGGAGGTCGCCAGTCGAGGCAGTAGGGGTGTGATCGAGCCGGTAGGGGTGGTGTGTTGGTCGAAAGACAGCTGGATGTTGGTCTGGTTTGAGTGGGTTTCTTCATGAACAGTTTGGGGTTCTAAATCATGAAGCAACTGAGGCGAATGTTTCCCAGAATCGTCCAGAACATCTTCTGGAGCTCCTGCTGCTGGGTGAGCGACTCCAGGAGTCGTTCGACCACCACGAGGGCCACGTCGCAGGCCGCCTGGGCCACGGAGGGATCACTTAGAAGGGGGGCGACAATTGAGGAGTGGTCCAAATCAAATGAATCGAGGAGTGGTCCTGGATGTTTCTTTTGCGTTCATTTGTCAAAGGCATTTGGAAAGCTTTGGATCTTGTAGTCACAGTATGCCACAGCCGTTGAAAAACATGATATAAAGGAAGATTGCCAACATAGCACTGCGATTCACTCTCAAGTTCCACTTGATTCAGTCCTGGTATGTCTTGGTGATAATTCTCCATGTCTCGTAAAACACATCCAAACCGGAACGCCCTCAACATTGATCAGTGAACCTTGGACCTTTTGGCGATGCCGAAGCCGCGGGTCTCAGTCAGCTCATCTCAAGACGCGTCGCACCGGCTATGAAAATTGAAAAGGGATTGACCATATTGGCCACCTCCCTCTTCATCCTCTTCCTAGTTAGTTGAACGCCTGGACATCAAACACATAACAACACAATACAATACTCCCATGTTCCTCCGCCACCAAGGCCTTGGTGGGAATCGAGTTGGGGTCCAAGGCATGCATGTTCTTTCCCGTGGGCAGCACCTGAGCATCGACCGAGTTTCTTCGTGTTCCAGCGACGGTTTATATACATGATCTGCTCTACAGGGCCCTGGTTCAGGTCAAACCATAGGTGACCTGGCAGTGAGGATGCTGGCTACCAGTCACAGAGCGAGCGAGGCGGGTGCTGTTTAGTCCATTTTAGTCCCATGTTCTGCGATGTTCCCCGACGAACCATGGATCGCACGAACCACGAAGCATGGTTTCCTGCTGGGTGGGACTTGCAGGGGACGAATAGACATCGAATCGACTCAAATACGAACCAGTGGGAGGAAGAGAGGTTCGATGGCAACCCCCAGTCGACTTCGTTTTCTGTTTATATAGCGGCTCCACTACTAAACCACCGAACTTGGGGATTGTGCCATCGAAACTCTCAACCCACTATGTATCCATACAGGACTCCCTACAGGTTGTTGGAGCAAGTGAGTGGTGTTTGTGTATGACCCAAACCAAGAGAGTGAGGTCAAACTGACCTGTAGGCCTGTAGGGCATCGTGGCTTCTTTTAAAGGAGAAGCTATGTTTTTTTCATGGATGAGAACCGATTCTGTCGCTCTCGGACAAAGAGTGCTGTGGATGGCCACAGCAAAATCCCACCATCTTGGTCTTGGTCATTGGTCATGTAATGGCCATGTAATGTCATGTAGAAAAGACATGTAATGACTCAGGCCATGTAATGACTTTGTGGTCATGTCTTTTGTCATGTAATGTATTGTTCTCAAAAGATGCGTTGCACACAAACAATGTGTAAGAAAATGATCCCGCCAAATCCAAGTAGTACTGATAGACTCATACGCGCTCTATAGACTTAAAATGACTTAAACACTCTTAGTCTTGCACAGCTAAGGCCACTGCTTCGTCTCGTTCGGACAAAACGGTCGAAACCACCGATGCGAATGCCCAAGGCACATCGGGGTTCCGGATAGGATCACCACCGGGGCCTCCATCGGCGGCCGTCCGCGGTGGAGGTTGGAGGTTGGTGGTTTGCCTTTTTGTCCAAGACTACTGGTTGCCTGTCGACTTGCCCCTGGTTGACATGCTCCTATTGTGGACATGCTTGAACCCATTGCTTTTTCGTCGATTGACGTTTCTTGATGTTTTTTGTATGTTGCATGACGTTGCATGCATGGTCTCTGAATGTCTCTTCACATCCTGGCCTTTGGTCAAGCCACGGTTCAAACCAAACTGGTACCGTTTGGAAGACCAAGAAGCCACCGTTGAAGGGGGGGTCGGACTTTGAGGATTCGAAGCACCGGATTTCCGCCACAGGGAAGATCATGTGATCGATGAAACACGAACTCAAAGGGCTCCAAGTCCCGCCTGGTTTATACCTCAAACACTCCATGTACCCAAAGGCTCATGGACCCGCATTTTAGTGGAGGGTGGGGTCTCAATCGCCCCGGGCTGTGAACGGAGCGTCTGGGTATGGCAGGATTCAACCATTACCCCAGTCCTGTGGAGCGTCCGGGTGGCAGGGCGGCAGGGTCAAGATTTGATGAGCCTCTGAGCCGTCCTAGTTCTGAGTTCAACACAAAGGATACACATGCCAGGCGGAAAAACACCATTCTAAGGGTAGGTATGTACATGACTAATAGGGGCTAATAGAATCTAATAGACACCCATAGACACCTCTAAGGGGCTAGCAAGGATAGACACCCTTTAGGGGGGGGGGCTCTATTTTTCCCTCGTTCGCCTCAGGACCTCCTCCACCAGGACCTCCCCTCCGGAACGAGTGACCAGCCCAGCACCAGTGCGCCGCTCGTCGTCGGTTCCTTCCCGGCCTGGCTCGATGAATTGTCCGTCCAAGGCCTTGAGCAAGGTGGGCACCTCGTTGTTGCGCACCACTTCGCCCAGGCAAACCTGCAGGTACCTCGGGGGTCGCAGACGTCACCCGAGAGGAACGGGCGACGAGGAGCGGAGTGAGGAGGATCGCCGTGGAGTCGAGGGAGGTCTTTGTTGGTTTCGACCCTTTGGTGTTTGCTGGTCGCATACGGAAGGGTGAGCTGCGCCCAAGCTGAATTTGGTAAAGGAGTTGGGAACCTCCTGCGTGTCCTGAAGCCATACACGTCTACTCCACCGAAACAAACATTGGCATGTGGGGAAAATTCAGCTATGAGTCTCCTTCAGTGCACTGTACAATTGATCCATCGATCATGTGTCTGGCCGTGTGTCAATTAGGAAAAGTTTTGCCTGAAGCCACAAGATCCTTCACATTATACTGCACTACTCGGTAAACAGCTGTGCATATAATAGACCAAGCCAACATGCATACAAGGAACACACATATATAATTCATCAAAGAAACATATACCAAAGCCCCCCGAGGGTGTGTCTATTCTTGGCCCCGAAAAAAATCGAAGAAGAAAGGTCAAGGGGTGTACAAGTGTACCATTAACGATCCCTTGTGGGTCCAGGTACAACACATCAAATTGACCGCCATCACCAGTCGCCTGAGCCAGCAAAACAGTAGTTAATTGTTGGAGTGGGCTATTTGCCAATCTGTGTTAGCTTTTCTGCTAACACCACGTGTACAATGCTTCGAATACACTCTGTACGGGGTGCGATGCAATCTGCATAAAGTCTTGTCATGTCTACTTCTCGCGAAAGGTTTCCACACCGAGCCTACAACAAGGTCAATTCTACTACTACGACTACTACTGCTACTACTACTACTGCTACTACTACCACTAATTACTGACTTTCAAATGAAATTATTCCAGAAAATGTCTAGGGTTCAGGGCCTACAAAAAAGATGTTAAACAAACAAAGCAATCATTTGAATTATATAATTTGATTATATGTGAAAAGCTCACAAAGGGTACCGCTCACAAGGGCTGGTGCTCCCTCAATAATCTGAACTACTACCCCCTACCCCGTATTAATTTGATCCTGTGTCCCTGGCCTTTTTGGTTTGTGTTTGTTTAAACTTATTACGACTGCCACTACCCCTACTACTGCTGCTGCTGCTCCTCCTCCTCCTACTACTACTGCCCGAAAAGATCCGAAAATATACGAAAATAGGTTAAGGGGATTTAAGGAGTGTCTGTTAACCAAGAATTGGTTTAAGGGAACATCTACAGGACAACCGCATCATTTTGGGGGTCAAAATGGTTTCTTTATGTTTCTTTCCTGCAGGTGTTCCCTCAAACCAATTCTGGGATATCAATAACCCCTTGGGGGTCCTGGTCCAGCATGACACGTCTCATCTGGTCTCTTCCCCCAAGGTCCGCCGAGATGCTCGAAGAGCGGCTTAAGGTCATCGTCGGGACAGTCGAAGCCACACTGGCCAGGTGCGATGTCAATGTAATGACACCCTGAACCCTAAACCCTAAACAGGTACAGAGTTTTGGGCCAGGTTAATCTCCAAATACTGGTTATGAAACCCTACTGGTTCAAACACGTTCAAAAACAAAGTAAAACCTAGTCCTGAGGTCACCTCATTAAGTAGTGTCTTTGTTTGTATGACCCGCTTTGGTGATATGATGTGAAATGAGATCTTTGACCTGTAGGGACATATAATGACTGGTGATTTTGCAGCAACCAATCCGATATGACTCCTGATGCTTCCCAGCTCTGTTCACACACAAACCAATGACCCCAAAGCCCCAAAGCTCATAAAACCTCTTACATCATCTTCATTAATCTTCACGTGTCTTCCATCTTCCAAACCTTCCCCCCATGTGTGTCTCCATGTCGTGACCGACGGTTTTTTCGCGTCCAGGACGCGTCCCCGAGACGCGACACGGGACACGCGGCCGCGGCCTCGGCGAGGGCCTTCTTGTACACGGAGCCGCCGGAGAAGAAATCAAAGACACCCTGCAGGGCGCTCACCTCCTCCACTCGCCCCTCCTTGCGACCGGTCTCGGAAGCGGCGGATCGCCGGTGGAATGCTGAGGATGCCCCCGAGGTGGATGATGGTGTTGTTTTGGGTGCTGGCCGAAAAGCATCGCATGGATTCTTGACGAAGAAATACAAAGAAAATTGGGGAGTTGCAAAGGACCCGCTGGGGGGATTGGACATGAACAAATGCAATGGGATCAGGGATAGCCTGATATCAAGCCTCACTGGTTCCTCGGTTCCTCAAGAAAGGTTTGTGTTCTCATAAATAGTGGAGGATCAAACATCTCATCGATTGATTGTCAAAGGATGTCAAGGGTTTGCATACTATATGTTGAGGACAAATGTGGGTATGTGAGGACCCAGGGAATTCAAATGTTGACATGCGTTCCACCAAAACATATGCGACTTTGGTTGAGATAAATTTCAAAACATCTTTCCCACCTTTGGTGAAGAAAAAAGATTGCAAAAGGACTCCTCCTCTACTCATGCGAACCAAGGACTGAGTGCGAAACCTGAAATACAACGCGACTTGGGAGAGCCGGGAAAAAAATTACTGTACGATCGATCCCGAACCTATATGAGTCTATTTTGGAGTTGTATCCCAACCTACATATATGATGGGGAATGGGGATGAAACAAATTTACGATCGATCTCGAACGGAATTGGATGATCCATGACTTGGCCTCCTGGCCGCTTGAATCCCTGGATGCGGAAAATGTCAAAGCAAATACATATACTGTCTATAATTACTGTAGACTGTGAAGAAAACAAAGCACATGTATACAATATCCTGGGAGTCCAAGGCTGTGTTTAAATGTGATTGACCTGGTTTTGTGTAAATCTTCAGCAGAACAATGGTGGTTGCCCCGCGACCCAGCCCGCTACCCTGCTTTACCTCCCCACAAAAAGAAAAAAATCACCCGCTCCGCATTGGTGGACTGCTGCACCAGCGCGCCCACCGCCGCGCGGCTGGCCAGGGTAATGTCTTGGACCAAGGACACATCCTGCCACCGAGTTTTGAATGAAGCTATCGTCACAGTGGAGAAGAAAAACATAGAAAAACGGGGGTCGAAGGGAGGGAGCGAACGAAGGCGGTGTGTGTTGTTGTTTTCTTTAAAAGAAAATGAAGAGGCAGTGTAGCTGTGTAGCCAACTAGCTGTGTAGCCTAGCTGGGGAAGTCTTTTGCTGACCCTTGAGAGGTGACTGACTGGTGAGTCAACTGTGCTCGGAGGTCGTCAGAGTCGTCACACATTGGTCATTGTATTGACTGTCCATGTCCGCTTGCAGAATTGTTGACACAACTGTTTGTTTTGTTTGCTTTGTGAACTCCTCAGCTGTCCAGGATTTTGGGGTCCAGCCACATCGTGTGCGCTTCTTTTGTCTCCTTCAGACCATCTCTGACATTCTATGTACCCGAAACACCCAGCGAACATGTCCGGAAAAAGCTCAGCAAAAAGTGAGTCCCCAAACCAACATGTCATGTCAGTCGACTTGATTAACCACAGCCAGCTCTGTTTGCTGTTGTCTCTTCTCTTCTTCTCTTCCTATACCGTAGCTGCGTAGCCAACGACCTTTATTGGGCCCTTCCGGCCTCCAGGTTGCCATCGTTGTTGCCCTTGTAGACCGCCTGGCCGTGGGTGGCGACACGATCGCCACCGGTCGCATCAGGATTTGTAACAAGAAACTACGCACGGTGGAGGCTATCGCTAGTCACCACCCAAAGGATGGCTTTCTAAGAGATCTGCAAATGTATTTTCTTTGGGATGTAGCACTGTCCCCTTCTTGTCGTTTTCTTGGATAAGAACAACGAATGCAGTAACTTGTTTCTGCACTGTTCAGTCCTAGCAGGGGACCCAATCCACCAAAAAAGGTTTTGCAGGTATCCACTTTTCCTGGGTAGGGCCGGCGGCAACTGCCCCACCGTTCCTCAATGTCTTTGCCCCTGCTCTCAGCAATGATGCGGGGGAGGCTCTTGATGCCCATATCCTCGGCCCAGTGGCACAAGTGCGCGGTTTGTAGCGCTTTTTGGGTTTCTGCATCTCGAAAGCCCTTTGTGCAAGTGTTTGGAACATCATGACTATGATTGACTATACCTTATTATACTTGAAGTTCTCGGTCAAAACAACCTGTACAAACACCAGCAACAATGTATAATATCAATAGTATCATCGTAGCATTGAATTTCCTTCTTCGATTCCTCGTCTTCCTATCGATCGACAAACTGGGGGTTCGGCATCCACACCTCATCATCAAACCGAACTAAACAATCCCTGGAGCGCCAAGGATAGATGCAAGTAGCTGCAGCGAACTCATGCACCGAAACGAGCGAGTTCAACCCGAAATTGTCCTTCAAAGGCCGTTGAGGGCCTAGGGCTTAAAAAGCACCTCACGCGCACCTCACACAACTTACTCGACTTGGGAGATGGGTCAAAACCTGGAGCCCTGGATGCACGAACTTCTAGACACAATAAAAGGGTTCGGTCTCCTGGTGCCATGATCCCTCCCGTTCGCCCATCGTGGGAGCACTTCACGCCCTACCCCCCCGCGTTGACCGTCGCCCCGCCGGCGCCGCTCCGGGCGGTCCGGTGGCCGATGCCAAGCGTCAGGGCGGTCCAGCTGAGCGATGTTCACCAGGGTGGCCACGCTCTCTTCGGCCGAGGGAGGCACTCCCACCTGTTCTTCGCTGCGGCCATCGGCAACGCCCGGTCCGGGGATTTGGTCCAAGGTGATCGATGCGTTCAAGAGTCAACCGCCGGTTGTCCGTCGAAACGCGATAAAAACGCGGAAAGAAAGAGCTGTATCTGTAAACCTTGCTCGGTAGAAACATGTTCCAAGCCCAAAAAAGCATGCGCCTGAGGCCCACTTCTATGCCCAAAGAGTGTTCAAATGGTCTTTTGTGTTCTTCCAATCCAGCCCTCGAAAAAGCAGGGGTCTTCGTGGCCGTTTTGAGTGACACACCCATGATTCTCATAGAGTTCCTACATAGATTCCCCACGTCGTCCCCTCTCCAAGTATATTCCCAATGGGAATGGAACATTACAAGCATCTCCAAACATCCACCTGGCTCTTCAGAACCCAAACACTCCATGTATGCAAACACAATGGCGTGTTTTTTGAATGGTTTGGAGGGTCAATGTGGCCATCTAGTCCAGTCCCATGGAGTGTCTGGGATATGCAGCTATTCATTGGTACAAAAACACCATCCATGTAACATGTATGGCATATTTGCCGACGTTGACCCCTGAAACAGCCTCAATGTAGGCAAATATGCCAGTCTCCGTGAAAAAGACACGGTGCTGCTGGACGACTGCTTCGTGACGTCGTGCGTTCTCCTCAACTCGGTGTGGCCGGCCTGGTGGAGGCCCATGGGCAAGGCGCGGGATTCGATCTCCATGAGGAGCTTGTAGACCATGCCCACCACCTGAGCCGGCATCACCATGCGGTCCACGAACGATGAGCTGCGGTCCACGTGTTTGGACCGCACGAACGATGGTGGATTCCAAACGATCCCGCTGGCTGTAGAAAAACAGAGCCGGGGATCGGAACAGGTGTTAGTTCACCCGCGATGTGATGAGAAAACCGGAAGAAAACAGTGCAAACAATGGTGCAAACCGCACAACCCAAGCCCAATTGGTTTAAATGCACCTACCAGGTGCACCTACCAGGACCATCCTGTCTCCGTCACCTGGCTGGACTAGCCTCCACGATCTCCAACCAGGACAACACAGGATGGTTCCGGTTATGAAAAACCCATCTTCGCGCCATGGCCCGGTCGTGGTGTCCATCGGCCCCGAGTGGCATCATCCCTCTCGTCCATGGTCTTCTTTGCCATGTCATCCTGACGCGTCGTCGGCCAAAAGCGTTTTCTGTCCGCATGACCATGTGTTGGGGAAAACATTGCGAGCTGGAAGCGGTGTAATGAGTACAACGTAAGCCTACGCAAGAATACCAAAGGGTTAAGATTTTAAAGTATAATTGATAATGCATCTAAAACAAAAACATGGACCCTCACCAAAATCATTGGTTCTGACGCTACTAGGGGCTCCTGGCATCGCTACGAACGGAGCAAGGACGCTACGAACGGGGCTCCTGGCCTCGTTCCAGAAAAGCGAACCGATGCACAAAGAAAGACCACCACGAGTGACTCCCAAAGACCACCGACGGACCGCAGGCACGGGTCGTGTTCTGAGGGGAACATAGAGTTGGCAACAGCCTGGTCCATACACTCAGCCCTGCAGGCCCTGCTCAAATTTGCATCTTGTTATCAAAAATAAACTATGTAAACATGTTCAGTATTATGACATGTAAAAACTAATCATCAAAGTTCATCATGATTTGCTACGTGGCATGAGGAAATGCTAGCAGCGTTAGTGAGTTGTGGCTCTACGCACGGGGAGGTGGCTAGTACCTAGGGTATCTTAATTAAGTAAACCATAGTAAAACCACAATTTCTCAATGTGTTTCTATCACATATGTCAAATTGGGAGTTAGCATGAGTTAGCATAATCCTGGAACTGGTACAGTATCGCTCTTCTCAAGATGTTTTGGCCCGTGTTCATATCATATATTAATTGAACTGCTCTTCAACATACTATGAAAGTTATGTGCCTTGAATTGTTCAGAAAAGTTGTTTGTTTTATGTATAGCTAAACCAACAAAAAGCAACACATATGCCTAATCTCTTTCAAAGTGTTTGTGTTGCTGTTAAAGGGTGGGTTGACGTGGGTTGTATATATCTACTCTCATCTATATACTTAACTATTCTATTGCTGGTCGTGTGCACCCTTCATCATCAGCTGATTCACTTCAACAAGTTCCACCAGTGCATCAACATCCACCGCCCCAACACCTTCGGCCCCTCGAGTTGTGGGCGGCCTCCTCGCTGGGCAAATTCTCGATGTCCTGACGGCGACGGCATGGGGTTGTGTGGCCCCAGGCGAAGAAAGCAAAAAGAACAAACCAATTGGGTGCAACCTGCACCTTGGACTGGACCGTGTGGAGACCAAAGACTGTGGGAACGGGGGATCTTCGTGAAAAGCCCCAACCTACATCTGGTGAACGAACGGCCGCGATCCGCCCAGCCCCCCGGGTGGGTGTACCGGTGTTCCGGCAAAGCTGGAGTGCCAGCTTGGTCAAGTGGGTGTGTAGTTTCATAGGGCGAACACGCCCTGGCGCTGGGTAGACTGGATATTGGAGGAGATCACCTGACAATAGACATCACATCGCCGGCGTGCCATACGTGTCCGTGTCCTATGTTGAGACAACAAATTGTGGTAGAGGTTTCAGCCGCGTGCATCGTGGCCGCGGCCTGAAGAGATTTTATCCTCCTGGTCTGGGTGGTTTATTCATCCAAGAGTCTAGAGGTATATTGCAATAATTTACAATAATTTACAATATATCGATTACACAATATTATATTCCCTTTGAGCAGCTGAGCGTGTTGGAAAGAACATCCAAAATCTTTCCTGCTGGATTCTTTGCCGGTCCTTGTCCAAATTGCATTGACGAGCCGTCGCAACGATGCTGTTCACAATGGAAGCGCCTCGACACCAACAGCAGAGGGGAAGAACAGCAGCGCTTGCCACAACAATCAGGCAAGAGGGGCAGGAGTGGAAGTTGTTGCCAAAGGAGCTGGAAAAGGGTGGACGCTGTGGATACGCTTTACAAAGGGTATGCATGATATTCTGAAACAAGCGTTTTGAATGGGCGAAATCAAGGAAAAGGTTTCTTGTATTTGTGTTGCCCTTCTGAGATCCTCTACAGTATATGTCACTGTGATATATCGCTTGGTTGGCCATGACTGCGAGAGTGACACATTAAATGTCTTTCCCAAGGGTGGGCAGACTACAAAATGTTGAACCCTAAAGGTTAAGGTTTTAGGGTTGAGGGTTTAGGGTTCGCCAACACAGTTGGCGCCCTAGTCAAACTCTGGCCATGACAGGAGAAACAGCACATACATTTATATATCGTCCACACCCTACACTCCATAATTTCATTTTTTAGTTAAAGGTGTTTTGTCCTTTGAAGCTTCAATGTTGTTTGCCTCTTCCACTTCAAGGCTTTGGAAAATGTCCAACCTTGAGGCTTCGAAGTTTGTCTTAGGTACCAAGGGCCTGGACATTCCACAACATGCAACCTGGGCCAACCAGCGTGCAAGCTGGGAGGCTCAATGTGTTGTCAAGCCTTGACGCTTTAAGGTTTGGAGGCGGGTAGCCAAGCTATGCCTGCTGAGTTTAGGATTACGTGTTCAAAACAGATTGGAAACAAACACCTTGCAGCTTACAATCTTGGCTGGGCCAAGTTTGAAGCCATGTTATTCTGGCTTAAAGCTTGAAGGAAACTGCGTTCAAACTTTAGGCGTTTTTAAGCTTAGCTTCTTTCTTAGCAAAAAGTCTCTGGACCAGTTGGCTTCCTGTGCCCAGTGGTTCCCCGACAAAGCAAAACGACATCACAAAGAGTGACTAGACTAGACTTGCCCTGTCACGCTCTTCTCATCACAGCTCTTTCCCGGTCCCTCAAAACCCCCCCTAAAAACAACATGAGGGTCCACGGTCGCGTCTGGATGGATTCAACAACGGGTTCGAGGGGGTCCTTTCTCTCATCGCTCGCCCATTCCGCCCCCATTCGACGAGATCGGAGGTGGTGCCTCGTTGCTCATTCTCGCGCAAGCCCTGGTAGGACTTCACCAAGTCACTGAGCTCTTTCAGGCCCTGAAGGAGAAAACACATCATATCGATTCAGGGCCTTAGACTGGGTGGATTGGTTGGAACGAAGGTGGACAGCGGGTGGACAGCAAGTGAGTGGGAGGCCAAGGTGCTTCGATAGTTGAAGTGGAATCTGGCATTAGACTGGCTGTCGACGTCGAGAACGAGGGGACACTGGTTTTGGTGTTGTTTCAGGTTGTTTCCTCGATTGAAACATGCACAAACATTGACCCCATGTCCCATCCAAGCTAGCTAAACATCATTAAGCAATCCATGACAATCCGTCACCCGCTACGGGCCGCTTTTTAGACCCTATCTCCAAACAATCTGAAATAGACTCGAGTAGTCCATAAGAATCAACGTGGAGAACACACACACGCGCACACACACACACACACCAACCTGCCCAGCTTCCAACCTGCCCTGCTGAGCCTGCTGATCTACTCTCCCCCGCAGCTCAACCTCCTTTCTCCCGGCCCCAGAACCTCCACCCCGTCCCTCTGGCCTTGTAAAGCCCGGCGTTCTCCGCGGGCGGCGTCAGGTAGGAGATCGTCGAGGCATAGGAGCGACGCTTGGCGATCGTGGCCTCCGAGGGGTTGTTGGCCTGAGTCGCGAGGGGCCGAGCAGCGGGGCGGCCTGGAACCAACGGTTCAGCGGCGTGGAGTTGTTTGCTTCGTTTGCTTGGGTGAATGATTGTTTCCAAGGGGTTGCATGCGTAACTCTGTGTTCTGCACGTCCTGCAGATTTGTTGTTGCATTGAGCACCGAATGTGGACGGCCTTGTTGGGGTGAGATCTGCCGCATCCCCAGCCGGCAAACAGCAGGACGAGAGCATGGATATTGCAATATAACCAATACATATCCCAGAGCGGTTTTTGCAAATATAACACCATAAACTAAACAACATTCAACCACACAAAACCACGAGTCATGTAGGCCATCTATTTGCGCCAAAAGGGCAACGATCCTTGAAAGGGTCACCTGTACGAGTCACGGTCAAAAACATGTCCAAAATAGTGGAGTTGTCCTTGGCCAAAGACCGTTTTGGTGAGTATATGATCGATTTTCGAGTCCAAAAACTTTGGGATGCTTTTGGTGAGTCCGTTCTCGTCTTAGTCTTTACTATGTTGAGATCCGATTGCCACTCACAAACTAGTTTTTTTTTTTTAATTTGTTTAAAAGCATTGACCCATATTGACCCTATACCTATAGCTCCTGATTATAAATACGTGGGAATGGTAACCCCCCAAAGGTTCATTTCCCAACTCCTCGTCGGCTTCACTCGCTTACCTCCGCGTCCCGCCGTCCCGCCGTCCCGAATCCTCACCGGATGTGGGGTCAAAAACGGGCCAAGACACAGCGTAGTAATAGAGGTTCGGAATGACCGAGATCAAGCGGTCCGGATAGCAGCTGCCTGCGGAGCGCAGTGCGGGACTGCAGTGAGAAAAGCGGCCTGGACCTGGATGGGTGGATGATGTGAATATATGTCTTACAAAGGAGTTCTACTCCATTAGCTGCCAGTTCAGTTTCGATTCCATTTGCCTCTTTCTACGAAGAAGAAGGGATTCCACAAATTCACAAACTCAAGCATGGGCATAGGGGGGTGGATCAAGGACACAGCAATACCCAGTAGTTCAAACCCAGGAATATATACGCGCACGCACACACACACATATATATATAATATGCAATCACCTCTCTGCCCCTCTGGTCGGCCAAAGAATCCCAAGACCCCAAATGCATAAACTTTAGTCTGCAAGCTACTGCAAAAAGTTTTGCCTGGAACTACAGTACCCTTGGTACCTTTGATCCGTTCAACCCCAAAACCAACACACACCCAAACCCTCATAGACTGCTGAACCGCCTAAAACACCACCACCCATCTCCGACCCTTTGTGCGAGTTTCTACAAAATAGGGGCAGCGCCCAAAACACCACTATATGGGTCTGTGTTTTAATAAAAGACCCCCAACCAATGAGTTTGGGCATGTTTGGGCATGTTTTGGTCTATGTCTATGTTCCTCCTTCCAGGGGGTCGAACTGGGAGGTCTCCCTAATTTTAATACACAACCATCTCCATCCATCTCCCTCTGGCCTGACATGCCCACCTGCTTCCCAGGCATGAACTCCAACGAGCCATGGGTTCCGAAGTGCAGCAAGGCGTCCGCCTAGCTACGCCGTGGAGCGTCGACGGAAGCCGACGGAGGTTCGGAGCTTCGTCGTTGACGAGTGTCCTGACTGGGTCGACCAGTCCACGAGCGGTGTGCTTCCATTTTGGAGCCGTGAATCTTGAGGGATGTGATGCAATTGTTTGTGATTAAAGTATATATGGATATAATGTATCTTAATATATATATATATATGCAAATATATTTATAATAGCCCATATATGCTGCAAACATATGCAAACTATTGCAGAGCTTACTGTTTCCTCTCTTCATAGGTTGCAAACACCCCTGCCCCCAGTTGAATTTGAAGTGCCTTTTGGGTGGCGTCTGACTCGGTGTGCAAGAAAAATTGGAGTGTGCAGGGGGCTGGTGATCTACACATGTGAATCATTTCTGCAAGTATAACTCTATGGGACTTTGACAACAATCTGACAAACTTCTGGAACATGTTGGGAGGGACGGCTTCTTTCTTGGCCCTGCTGCCACATGACTCTTGAAGTTTTCAGGCAAAATATGGAACGCGCCAACACATCCATCTTTTCCAAACCCATATGGCTGTGGGTCAAAATCTGGGGCAACCCTGGTTGACCAACGAAAAATTAACAAGATTGAGAGACTACTGGGGAGGTCAACCTATTGGGGATTTAAGGGAGGCTGGTGAGGTCAATCCACAGCCATCTCTTCCGCCAGAGTACATGCGACAGTGGCTAGTGGCTCTTCCACACTCCATGATGAGTAGTACATTCATGCACGACCTGATTCCCAGACCACACGGCCACACATCAATGCTCACATGTGCTTCGGGATCAACATGGATCAATCGACGTAGGAGAATACAGCGACAGCGGTTGGGTCAGTTGGATCTCCCAGCCAGTTCTTAGGAGCAAGGACGCTACGAACTCCTGGCCTTACTATTAGGAGCAAGGACGCTACGAACGGAGCAAAGGTTTCCCCAAAAAATGGCGCCTTGAAGATGAACTCCAGGTAGGTGTAGAAGGCGGCGAAGCCGTGGTGCGGCGACGCCGACTTCGCAAAGAGCAGCCTGACCCACTTCGCAAAGAGCTCGGGGCGAGGGACGGAAGGAGGACGCACTTCTGAAGGGCCTTGTATAGTTCAAGGGATTCTGCGATTCTGCAAGCTTCAATCAAAGTGGCATCAAAGTGGCACAAGGTGTCCTTTAACTATTAATATGTCAGTATATATGAATGTGCTTTGCTGCATCATTAGCCCGACGACTCGGCATGATGTTGCTGGTCTTTGCCAAACGACCTCTTGTTGGCTTAAAGCATGTGGCCAACCCTTATCCCCCAGCACACATCGCCGCACAGTGGGGGTTGGCCTAGCTCCAGTTCGCCTCCTTCGTCCCTCCGCCTCATGGGATCTCCCTCGTAGCCGAAGGTGGGCTGAACACCCAGGAAAATGTTTCCAAAGTGCTTGCCTCGGGAGCCGTCTTCGGAGTGTGTGTGTGTGTGTGTCCACTCCTGTTTCCAAGGACACTACTCTAGTTTTTTCTAATCTACCCTACGAACTTGTCTGTACAGAAGCAGGGGGACAACCCCATGGATGCAGTTGGTTGTCCAACGAAGAGGGCTGCATTCCATGGCTGATATGATCCTGGGACGCTAGGATCACGTACCTGCAATTTTAATACTAAGTTTGATCTTCAATCGCTGATGTTTCTAAGTCAGTGCAACGCCGTCTCATACGTTGTTTCCTGCAGTATCTAGATTTAAAGGGCTAATGCACACCGCGAAGCTACCTGAAATCACGCTCCACGGAGCAACCTTCTCAAGTGTGTCTTCGCAGCTTCTTCCCACTGTGGTGAGCTGTGTGATCCCTACGGGGCGCCGTTACCGCAAGAACCTGATCACTCCTCACCGAGGGAGTAAGTTTCCTGAATTTTCTCTGAAGTCCCTTTGACTGAATTTTACCTGCTCGAAAAAATCAGCTTGGATCGTCTCACCCCGCACATGTGAAGAGTACTGCAGAGTTCACTGAAATCCTTTCTGAATCCCACTGCAGAGTCAACTGAAAGTGTTTCACCCGGAAATCCATTCTTTTCAAATTTTTTCAAATCCTTTTAACCTTCCAAGTTTTAATTCCATTTTCCAGAGTTCAATTTTCCAGAGTCTAATTGCGGTCAGTCAATACACTCCGACCTCACGGACCTCTATTTATTTTCATACATACATACATACATATTTTCACTGTCTTTGACTTGCCGAGCAGCCATGACGTATCCCTGGCCCTATTCTTTGCCGCCACACATCCATCAACAACCACAACCTACACAACCCCATTGGATTCAATATCCACCACAGGCTTCACCACAACCTTTTCCAACACTGCCACCGACTCCACCACAACACCCAACCTCACATCACTACCCATTGCCCCCTACACCTCCACCTCATGCTCAATACATCCCACCACATCAACTCCAGGCACATTTTCCAGTGCAACCCACGGCTCCCTTCGACACTGCCCAACTTACACAACAACATCCGCATCTCACAATTCAACCACCACAATCCCAAGCCCACACACATCTCACATTGCCACTTCAATCTCAACCTCAACCTCAGCCACCATCCCTACCTCCTCAACCACATCTACCACATCAACTACATCCATCACCACACACGACAAATCAAACCCCTGCCACACCTTCTTTTCAACCACCACCACTACACGCACCTGATGTGCTACAAGCACCACCACCTGATCCAACAACAATCACTTCACAGCAGTTGGCCACACCAACTCCACCACCACCACCTTACACTTCAACAACCTCACCAGCGACTACTCAACCTGCTTCAGCATCCATCAACACACCCGCACAGCCTCCGCCACCACACCACATACCACGCACTACCAAGCCAACGCCATCCATTGCACCCACACTCAGCACTACAAGAGGTATTTGGCGCGACCCAGATCGCTCACCACCACGCACACCTGAACATCACCGCTATTCAGCCTTTCCAGCCGTTCCCTCCATTGCACCATCACAAGCTACATCCAGATCCAGGAGCCGCACTCGATCACTACGTACCACGCGCTCTCCACTACCAAGACGTCGAAGCTCCGCCACCCAATCCGTGGCTAGCTCTCAAGCACAATCCAAACCTACAGATAGACAAGCATCACAATCACCAGCAATCACCCAAGACAAAGCTCACACTTCCATCCAAAACATCACTACCGCTACCACTGCCAAACACACTCCAGAGTCAACTCACCGTACTTCCAGCATTACACTCAAGCCCAACCCACATTTCACTCCCAAGCATTCCACAAAACAGACACTTCCACCACCACCCCCAGCACCAACACCTGCAGTTCCAGTACAGCGTCGACCTCACAACTTGCCTCCTCCAACATTCCAACCACCCACTGATCCAGTGTCTTCCAATGGCTCAACCGCTACGCACAAGCACTTGATGTCAAAAATGAACCCATGATCTCCTACGTAGCCAAGGTACTCAGTGCAGCTCATCTCAACAGCACCCACTTTACCGACCTACAACTCCTCACACACACAAAATGGAGCGATGACACCAACAAAGAAGAACATTATTCCTTCCTACTACTTACAATCCCCACATTAGCGAGCAGGGGCGACGCCCCGATTCTTCCTCCTACACGGAGAGAGGCGCTGAACATACCACCTATTAAACACATTTTTGCGGCACACGTTAGCGAGGAGGGCAACATCATTTCAATACTTGAAGCAGGAGAAATCGTGCGATCCATTCTGCATGATGATCACAACGTGGGCTATTTTTGTCAGGCGTTCGAATTGTCGAACTACGAGCCCCATGACGCTGCTGAAGCTGCACGCGTCCTCTTCAATGCTTCCAACATGGCCAAGAACCGCAGCGGCCTCATTCTGACGATCAAAGCCTATGGACACGGCCAGAAAGTCACTCATGGAGGCGAATCCGCAGCGAACGACTTGCTGCTCAGAGGAGAAGGGATTGTAAAATACACCCCAGGAAAATGCTGGGTGGCCCATCCCAAACATTCCAGAATAGAAGGGATAGCCTGGAAAAGCGATGCAAAGCCACCGCTCAGTTTCATTTAATTCAACCTATTCAGCTCACGAGGTTCGTTTTTTCACCCTGTATCTTGGATGACGACCTAGCCTCAAACAATCTCAGCCAGCTTGCTTGATATTGATATTGATTCTGGTTTTTCTCACACATCGTTGTCAACTTCCTTTTCTTCCGATATTTTATTCCTGTACAGATTGATGCCGACAACAAGATCTTCTTTACGGTCACTTTTTCCAATTTTCCAGACTTGCAGCGTGTCAGCATTCCTGGTTGATATCAAGCTTTCTCAAGAGAGTCACAAGCATTTTGAAGAGAGTCGCAAGATTTCCTGTGTTTTGCATCCTGCCCCGCAGCCATTTTGTATTATCTTGAATATTGAACTCGATCCCTGACGACCACCCGAGCTATATTTGCTTCCCGACGAGTACCACGACGATGACTTCACCTTTGGACACAGCATTTGCCCATCTACTCCTTTTAGCGCACCTTCAAGCAGCCACCTCCATTGCTACTACTTTTCAGAACCTTCCACCATTTACACCGCAACCACTACAACATGCACATCACCCACTCACTACCACTCCACCTACTCCCCAAAGACCAGCCAGGCGCACTCCTCCACCACTGCAACCGCAGCCGTCTTTCTCACGCAGCCGCAGTCCACCTCCCGCCAAAGGCAAACCAT